ACAAGTTAAGGTCACCCACAGAGACCAGCATTTTGAATTGAGACAGTGAGTAACCGAGGGGCACTGTACCCATATTCATTGTGGGAAATAACCTTTTCACTGCTGAGTTGCTCTGACTCTTCCATGCGTGAACCACACCCCTTTTGTTTAGTAGAAGCTCCTCTTTCCAAGAGCTCACGTCAAATTTTCCTAGTCTTCCAGAACTTTACTGTAGATACACATTGTCATGGAAAGCCCCTTAAGGAATTTTGGGTGTGTAGATTAGATATGACACTCCAGATAAATTTTTGGAATCAAGGAAAGAATAAGTCAAGTGTGTGCTGATAACAGCCTTAATTTAATACAAAAAAAAAAAAGAGCTGCAGCATCTTTTAGAGACTTAGAATGATAACGCCAAGCACTCTGTAGACTGGTATCCTTATCACGTTGGGTGTCATCACTGATACATCCTAAACAGGCGCCACAACTAATTCATAGTCAGCGTTTTCTTATACTATGCACCACGCAGTTATAATAAATAAAATTCTATATTTTAATATGAATGGCAAAAGTTGTTTGATCAGTTTCCTACAACTGGTTAGTTTTACTTTGGGGGAAAAAAAGATTTCTAGTGTGACAGTGGGAAAGTAGTAACTACCCCGGTGGGTTGGGGAGGAAATAAGAAAAAACATCTTCCTTCACTGTAACTTACTCACCGTGAATGGATATGTACCAAAGTTTAGTAAAATGCCATGCTCTTTTTATACATACTTCACCAATCTACAATAGAAAAACTCAATGGTATCTTCAGCTTGCAGGCAAAGTACATGATAAAAAAAAAATTCTGAGTAAGAATTGCTCTATTTCTCGAGTCCAGTGGTCACAAAGAAGAGAAATACCTATAGGAAATTTGATATTAATAAAAAGGAAAGCAGAGAATTAGACCTGACATTCCATTCATTCAGTCCACAAACATTTATTATGCCGTAATGAAATCTTGGTTATTGCATTATCAGATAAACAGAAACAAAGCACTATGTTAGACACACTAGGCTTTTTATTATATTTACGAAAACATAAGGAAAAAAATACAGGTGACACTCAAGTATTTGGAGTAATGACAGAAAGGAGGAGAATATTCACAAGAGAGAGATCAGCCTTGTAAGATGATTCATTTGTGTGATTTCTCATGTTTATCTGTAGTTTACCTTTACATAGCGTTGTAAAGGAGAATTTTCCTTTTCTGATTTTTCTTGTAGAGCAGGGTAAGGGGTTTAAAGGTGAACCAGGAGGGGAATTTAATTTCAAAGATGTATGGGAATCAATGCTTTCAAAACAAAATTTGAAATACACTTTGCCATGCCTTTTTATGCTGCACAAAATCCATCATTTATAAAGCTACTGATTTTGACAGCGCCTCTCTGCAACACAGGACATAACGCAGAGCAATCAAAAGGCATTTTAATTTTTAAAATGCTCTCATCTGCTTTTCCATTGCCTTTGGTAGCTTATACAATTTTAGAACACATGCCGCATGCCAAGTTGTCTGGCTTTATCTTCTCTATAGAGTAAAAATGTCACCACAGCAGTGTTGACTCTTTTCTGGAAATGGAGACTTTCCGTGGACCAGGCTTATTATGGATATCAAGATATTAACAGTTATGATTATTGGTTAACAATAATTGCTGCACTTACGTACTTTTTACATGCCAGGCGGTGTGCCAGATGCTTTACATACATTATCACCTTTTATCTTCAAAGCAGCCTTCCAAAGTAATCACCAATATCCACATTTTACACATCAGGAAGGTGAGACTCAGGGGTGTACAAGTAACTTGTGCAAGGTCCTAGCTATTACTGGTGAGCAATTGAAGGTCCAGACACCTGGGGGATGTTCCGTAGTCTGGAGAGGGTGTGTGTTTTCCCGAGCTTTACTGACATGGAACCGTAAGGTCATTAACTTAATGAGATCTTCAGGCCTCTCCTAGAAAGATGCTGCACACTGAGGCAGAGCTACAGTAGCTCTGGTTTCCTGGGGGTTTCCTTGTTGGGGGCAGGACCCCAGGGACTGCTCCTTTTTTCATCCTGACCTGGACCTATCACTGAAACAGAAACATTCTCTTTACAGTCTTTCGAGCAGCATTCATACCTCGCCTTTGTCCTGAATGTTGTTGCAGTCTAAAATCAAAGTCAGCTGTGTGGAGATGAGTTTGGGAAGTGATAAAACTGTACACAAAGAAATAGGATAAACATATCCCTTTCCATAAGCAAATTTAATATCTTAAGCGAAATTTGCGTTAAGTCTGAAATCCTCATTACTCGTTTCCATAGGTTTTCAACTTCCTGCACTGGTGAATTTTCCTAATAAGATCTCATCTCTAATTTTCATGAAGTAAAATATTGTGAACAAATATTATTGCCCCTCTATCACAATACATATGGCTGAGGCAAACTTAGTGAAAAATATTCTTGGATGTTTTAAGTCTGACATTTAGAAACTGGGTATCACATAAAAAATACTGCCAAGGTGACATCATATTTCCTGCTGTTTCTGAAAACCAGTTCAAATAGCAAACACTTAAATTTGTATTTTTATATGAATGTCATTCAAGAGGGCTTTGACTGTTGCAAAGTGGTCGGGGAGTGATGGGTGAAAAACGATATGAGCTAGCATTCTTTCTTTGTGTCTCCCTACTTCTCAGAGCACCGTACTTGCCACCTGTCCTTGTCAGGCTGTTGCAGACTAGCCTGAGTCACTGCTGTGCCCTGTCAGCCCTCCGTATTGTGCTGCACGTGCCCTGTCTGAGATGATGGAAATGAGACAGATACGCTGGTGTTTGTGCATAAAGGAGGCAGTTCCTGAGTGACAAGGCTATTTGTGTACCAAGCGCAAAAATATTGCCTGATAATGTCTGAGTTCACGTGCATTCACCATAAAAACTTGTGTAAGTGCCAAGGAATTAATTGCCTTGCTTAGGCTTCTGGTGACTCGATTAAAATGACGGCGTATTTTGAGGAACTTTAGGTGGGCTTATTAGTTGCACTCTGCGGGGTGCAAATGCGTTTTTAGGCAATTATCAGGGTTACATGGTTTTGAAGTTTTACAGTGAAGTGCATTTTACCCATTTGCAGTATATGTCAAGATTTTATAATTTCTAATCACAATTATTTAAAGACAACAAATAAGAAACAATAGATAAACTGTTGCCTGTACTCTTGATTTCTTTAGATTTCTTACTTTTCCGTTTATTGTAATGAGCTGTCAAATTTATATGGCCTGTTTATTTTAGACCTTGGAATAAAACCTCTCCTTTTTTTTTCAGATATGTAAGACTAATAAATACTCGAGAATTAACTAAAAGTCTCATAATTTTTCTGAGAACTTTGTGGTCCTATAACCCTAACATTATAGGGATGTAAAATATTTTATTGTTAAACTGAGACACAGTCTGGAATAGAAAATGTATTTTATTTATGACTTCACTTTCAGTCTCACAGAACCTATAATCTGAACTTGTGATAATCTAGGTGTCATTTATCCTGTTTTAATGAGCGGTAGTTAATAAGATGATGGGCGTTGAGATTATCATTTGATATCATGAAGTTTGTTGGAGTTCGCATTGGTAGACAAACATTTCTTTCTTCACAAGTGTACTCTGGACTATAGCATCTAAGAGAATTGAGGTTGCTTTTTGGAGAAAATGCTAATAAGCAGAATCTTGCCTCAGGGTGCCTGGTTTACAGATTACAACACAGCAAAAACCGTTATAAGGAGAAATTGTTAATGGATTGGAAGGAATGTAGTGTTTCTCATCAGGTGTTCTGTTGACTACCTGTATCCATATCACCCCCTGTGCTTGGTAAGCGTGCACATTCCTGGCTCCACGACAGTCCTACGGCTGGGACCAGACACTTGTAACGTTCAAGCCCCCGGGTAATGAAGTGCACTTCAGTTTGAGGATAGCTGGTGTCTTTCAGTGCCCTCCTTCTCTAATTGAGTAAATTTTGTCACACTGGCAATATAAATAGCTTTGTGATTTCTGGCACCTAAGCAAAAAATAAAAAATAAGAGAGAGAGACTGAGATTCCTGATTTTCCCTTCTGACCACAATAATCAGATCTAGATTTAATTCTTCATCTTCTTTCTAATATTTTTTATTTCTCCTAGGTGAAGTGTGATATTCTTAATGTATTATTTATTTGGTTTTTGGTGGGGGCTACTTTAGCAATCCAGGAAAGCTGTAGAACCTCTGTCCAGAAAAATGCCCATCACGTTTTTGTGTACAATATCAGGAGTTTATAGAACACCTGGGGCTCATCATGATCCCCAAAATAAGATTCCCTACGCCAGTAGGATCTGCCTCATAATTAATATAAAACAAGTCTGTGATTTAGAGATTTATTTTTTTCCATATATGATCATTGTTGGACAGTGCAAGCAAGGGCTTTTCCTTGTGGACATTATTTGCTTGCAGTCTGTACTGGTTCCTAAGGAGCTATAAGGATGTAAAGTTGTAATTATGAAACTAACAAAAAACCCGAACTATACAATTCTTTAGATAATTCATGGTAGCATCAGTTGTGTAAATGTGGTTACATTTATGCAACAGGCCATGGAAATTTCAAAAAATTCTTCTTTTTCAGTTTGTAGAAAGACTAAAACCAGAGAAAAATTTATATTAAATCAGAGCATATTTTCATATTGACATGGATGTATCTCATAACTTATGATAAATTTTTACATGAGAAGACTTCTTTTTTCAGTTCTTTTGGATAAATACCCAGAAATGGGATTACTGGATCATATGGTAGTTATATTTTTAATTTCTTGAGGCATCTTCATGCTGTTTTCCATAGCAGCTGCACCATTTCACATTGCCACCAACAGCAAGGGTTCCAATTCCTCTAGAAGTGTCTAGAAGTATCTTTTGATACATTGCTGTATTCTGTTTGCTAATTAAAAAAAATCTGCCTGTATATTCTCTGATTTTGTAAATCAGAGGATTGAGTATATATTTACTGTTATCAAGTTGTTGTATTATATTTATGCTTGCCTTAAAAAATTGAGAATTTTTTTTGGTATTTTTCTATGGTCTAGATACTTTAAATAATGTTGGAATTGTGTGCTCTTTAAAGGTTACAATATAATTCTTCTCTGATAAAAAGAAGACATTTTTTATGTTCAGAAATTTATTTAACACAGGACAAAACCCACAGTTACCTCGTATATATAGCTCTTCTGAAGGTTCAGCATGCTTAATGAAGACATGTTTAAATAAATATTTCTTAGGGAAGAAGACCACACCTATCGAAGCACAGAGCTATCTCTTGTATTCATCAGACACACTGCAGGTCAGAAGATCAAAGCTTCTGCTGTCATAATTTCATTTAACCTCTCCAAAATGTAGTCAGCTGTCCCATGTGTCAGTACAATTGTATTTGAAGAGTGAGAATGACACAGATTATTGGCCTGACAAGGCTAACCTGCTAAACAAAGGCATATCACATTACCTGATGACTTGGAAAGATAGTGTGAACACATTGTTTCTTCTGTCCTTTCGAGAGTGCGTTAGGGAGGTGTGAAACTGATAAATGAGAAGTATCCACTCATGGGAAGAAGGAATTTAAATGTGTTTCCACGTATTACGTACTCAACTGTCCTTTCTAGCATGATCTTTTTAATTTTCTAAACCTATTTTACAGATATGAAAATTGAGGCCAAGAGTATTTAAGGGGAAACATAATTAGCCCAATACATGTGTACATTTAAGGGAGAAGATCACATGGAGTTACAGTGGAACACAGGCCAGACCTCATTAAAGCATAAAATGTTGCATTTAGATCAGATAGTTCTCTTCTTGGTAGAAGAACTTGAGCATCTAAGCTAACGGTCTTCAAGTCAGAGTTTGTGGATCCAAAGAAGACCCTGTTGGACCAGTATTGGAAAATAATGAGCAATGAGCAGGAAATGAGGTTTATCCACTATTGAAGAGGCAGAATTGTGGAGGCTGGTGAGGTCAAAATCAGGAAATTCTGGGAAACACTGGGTGTTGAGCAGGAGGCTTTAAGTAGCAGGGCTGAGTAAGCACCCCTGGTAATGGGAATAGCTCTGAGGACTGCAAACGTTCAGATAGGTGAGCTCATTCTTTTGAAAGACATTCATACTCAAAGGATAAGATTTTCTCTATCTCTTTAAAAGCATATGCATAAACATACATACGTTGTATTATTATTTGCATGTGTATGTTTGTAAATTTGTTATTATAATTATATTTAGTTACTAGAATGCTAGTTTACTATTTTGAACAAAGAAATACCACACAGGACACGATGACATGGTTAAGAGCTCATTGTTGTTGAATGATGTAAGGAATTAAATCACGAATAGAAGCTATCCTTTTGAATTACTATAAAAGTTGACTGTCACTGTGAATAGAATTACAAACTCCACATGATAAATGCATACATTCCATATACCTAGACCTACATGGGATCCAAATCATAATCAAAAAAGTATGTGATGAGTTGGATGAGTCAATAGAGCTGGTCATGACAGACATACTCCAGTGGGGACCACTGGGTTCGAAGACACGCTGTGGCTTCCTAAGGTACAGGACCTCATTTTAAAGAGACAGTCCAATTCGGGACTTAACAGATACCCCCAAATCTTGTCTGGCAGCATTTTTAAGAGTGTGTGGAGAAGGAATAGTTTAGCAAATGGATACTCATTTGTTTTGTTTTCTCCTCACCATTGCATCTGTAACACTCTCTCATTCATCACTGCTAGGAGTGATCAGCTAGATGTTTGCCTGTTTGTTTGGGGAAGCAGGTTTACCTGCCAAAATGACCCCTTTTATTTAGTTAGAGGACACAGAGTGTCTGATTGATCCTTAGTGCTGCATGCAGTGCCCTAGGAGGACATGCTCTGTGTTCCTGAGGAGAGCACCTGGTCCATGCTCTCACCCAGCGTCAGCGGAGCATCTCCACGCCCACATGCACAGGTTGGTGAACAATCCATGTATATAAAGTGATGGCTCCATCTCCCCTGAAGAGTGAAAAATATGCCAGGAGGTATCCAAAGAAAATATAATCACCAGAAGAAGTAAACAGGGCCGGGGGTATAGATTTGATTGAGAATCAGCTGCACCAGTGTGTTCCGGAATTTTTAAGGGAAATGTCCATAATAATCTCTAGTAAACTCCCTGGAGCTTTCCATGTATGAAATGATCTTTCTCTCCTGCCTCTCCTCTCTCACATTCTCCTCGCCCTTTTGTACTTCTCTCCTTATGTAATGTCTCTTTGCCTCTAATTTAATCCAGCTTGGTGTTTGCCTCCTTGAGGAAGCTAATAGAAGTAAGAGCTAGCATTCTTGGAGTGCCTGCAGTGTGCCAGGGGCATTGCCAGATGCCTTCCCAAAGTCTCTCCTCCTCACCCCAGCACTGCCTGGCGGGTGTTCTTCACAGATGTCTGGTAGGGGCCTGGAGGCTTAAAACAGGTGATGTGGTTCCACCCTGACCCGCTCCCAAACCTGTGTTCTCTCCAGATCATGTCCCCTCCTGTACCTGTTCAACTACTTGGGGCCAATGATGATTTCCATGTAAGTGCTCAGCTGACAAACCTTCTGAATCTACTGTTCACCTTTGGTAAGGACTTCTAGTAAATCATGAGCAGCAGCAGCAGATGTAACGTAAACTGAAGCCAGAAGCAAGTAAGAGGAAGCCCATTTTATTTTAGCAGCATTTCTTCGAGGTGGGGAGCACAGTTTCCTAAATGTCTGTTCAGGGCCTCATATTCTATTGTGTGTGTGTCCAAAACGAAATCAGTCTATAAAGGGGCAGTCAGGCAAAATGTACTCATGTATTTCAGGTTAAAATTTATGCTGCGTCACAAGACGATGATGTCTCATTAGTTTATGATCCCAGTGGTACGCTATTGGAAGACATTTGGAAGTGACGTGATAAAGGCAGATTTTGTCATTTCCTAATAGAAACAATAACCTGAAAGTCACACTGAATTTTATTGAGATTCTACCCTAGGTAACATTCAATTAAATATTTCTGTTTATAATTCTGTTATCTTAGAGGAGATATCTAGAAAATGTGTCAAATAATCTAATAGATAATTCATTTCACTGTTTTCGTCTGTGTAGCAAACACCAGGGTATGAAATGCAACTTTCAGGGTTTTTTTTCCCTCCAGCTTGTTCTCCTGTCTGGGCTTTAGGCATTGTTCTCTCACACGTTTCTGGTTAAATTTCCTTTCTGTTTTAATTTCCCTTTAATTTATTTTGATGCCTGATTTGCATCAAAATCTTATTTCTACTATAACACTGCCAATTAGCTGTGTATTACAGAAGTGAGGGAAATTAAATAAGGTTAATAGATTTGATATCATGCATTTGATAATTGGATGTCAATTATATATTTGTATGTCTGGGAACAACTTTGAAATGAAAAAATATGGTTCTATTAGTAGTAGTATACCCAGCTGTATCCTCCTAGAAGTTACAATTTAGTCAAGCAGTTTTCAATCCAGATTCCAGCTTTGTCAAACTTACTACAGTGTAAGTTGTGTGTCTTCTGTCAGCCTCAGTTTTCTCACATGTAAAATGGGAGGATTGTTTGTTTATTTGTTGTCACGAGGAGTGAATGACATAAAGTGCGTAGGAGGGTGCATGGTAACCCTCATGTCATGGAAGCTTGGTATCTCAGAACTGTCACTTCCCCAATGTTCCTGCAGCCAGTCCTTTGCAAATCCAGTTTTCTCTTCTGTATGCGTTCTATTGCTGTTGCTCATTTTGACTCTCATCAGTTTATTCCAGACCCTTATCACTGCTTGCCTGAGCTATGGTCATTGTATGCTAATGGGCTATCCTGTGTCCTCACTCTCCCGTCTCAGTTCACCCTCACTGCTGTTGGACTACCATTCATCATAGAATAACACAGCGATACCCTTACCTTATTCAGATTCTACCTAATCCTGTCTTGTGCCTATTGAGTTCAAATGTAGCATCTTAGTATTCATGGCCTTCTATGATGCGACCTCCCAAGTCTGTTCCCTGCTGGTCCACTGCATGTGCTCTGTAACCCAATAAACTGAACTTCTTATTTTCCGTTTTTCTTCCAGATTCCTTACTTTTGCTCCTGTAGTTCTTTCTTCCAACAATAGCTGTTCTTACTATCCGTTTCTCATAATCTACTTCCCTATTGGATCCCACAAATATATGTAATACCATCTTCTTTGAAATCTCAGAGACTTTGGCTCCCATTCCTTCATGGCATATATTTTATCTTTTTCTAGCATGTATTATAGTCAGTCATGTATCTATCATTTTCTTCCTATTATACTGCATTCCACATATACTTCCTACTATACCAAGCCCTCCATGGATAAATTTACTGTTGAGTCCCTGGGAGTAACCAGGGCAGTACACATAGCAGGTGGCCAATGAATAATTGTTTAATTGAATAGCTGAATCTCAAAGCCCTCCCTCTTCTTCCTATTAGTTCTGTGAGTTTCTGTAGGTATACAAATCATAATAATAAACAAAACATCTTTAAAATGGTCATTTTCTAATGCTGGATGGCCTCTGCAGGAATCCACAAGGACAGTGATGTAAGGTCAGAGCTCTGTAGAGGTGGAGAGGAAAATGAAAGAGCTTCTAGTATAATAGTATAAAACCTGAATAATGTGGATTTTTAATTTCTAACTGGATTGTAACAGTTCGGAGGCTGTCTGCAGTGTCAGTGTTTGTCCTGGTCAGGGTTACAGGTAACGATAACAATTAATATCATGATCTGGACTTCAGATTTATACTTACTGCTCTGCCATTTCTTACTTTTACTTCCAAATGAAGTTTCAATTTGTACCACCTTATTTTTATAGACAACATCGATGACCTTTCCATCTGGACCAGCAAATTGGAGAACTAAGATGTAGAGGGATAAGAAAGCCTTCTGACCTCTTGTGGAGTTTCCAGTGTTGTCAGCTAAGATGTGGGCAAATGATCTCACTCCTGGGGTGATTGTTGTAGCTACAGCATTAGCTTGTAGCTACAGAGAAGCTGATTTGTGTTCAGGCCCTCTTGGCCTGGGGGCAACACGCAGAGCAGAGTTGGGACATTCCTTGGTATCTTCCTTGCCTGAAGTTCCTCCTGGGTCTAGAACACCAACCCCCATGCCCCATGCTCTGTGCTAAGCGGCAGTGCAGGGTGCTGAGGGTAAACTCTCCCCATCTCATAATGCAGGCTCCATCTTCCTCTCTGTCTACCTTGACCTTGTCCATCTCAGCTATGGAACGTGACACTAATTCACCAAAGCCCAGTTATTTCTGCCATAGCCATAAAGCTATGTCATAAATTAAGTTGTGTAGTTATCGTGAGAAGTATATTTAAACGAAGACAGTTCATATATTTGTACACATTTTTTGTTTCAGCTATAAAGATCAAAATATTAAAGAAACATGATAGTTTCATAAAGACAGTTTTTACCTCCTTGAGCCTGAGTTTGTGTTTTCTTTTTTGTTGTTGTTTGTTTGCTTGTTTTGTTTTTCTTTCGTTGCTGTTGTTAGAAACATGAGGAAGGCATAAAATAAAACTGGGGACCTGTCAGTATCTCTCAGATTGCTACAGCCTGTCTTAAATATTATAAGTAACGAAGCTGTAATTAGTTCCAGTGCTGTGAGCTTTATACTGTAAATAAATTGGTAGGACAAGGTGGATAACTTACAGAGTGAAATTTAATGATCCTGTCCCCTCTGTTTCAAAATTAAATCTATTATCTTTTCATCTTTGGATTCTTCAGTTCATTCATTCACAGATATTTATTGATTGTCTTCCGCATATCAAGTGCTGTTGTAGGAGCTGGAGGTATCGGAGTAAACAAAACCACATCCCGATTCTTATGGAGCAGCCCGATTCTTGGGCTGCTTTGACTATTAATGCCATCGACTGGGTGGCTTATAAATGACAGAAATTTGTTTCTCGTAGCTCTGGATGCTAGGAAGTCCAGAACCCAAGGCACCAGCAGATTCGATATCAGGTAAGGGACTGCTTCCTAGGGGCAGTCCTTTTGCTGTGTTTTCACGTGGTGGAGGGGGCAGTGGAGCTCTCTGGGGTCTCTTTTGTAAGGGTACTAATCATTCATGAGAGCTGCACTCTCACGGCCTAATCACCCCTCAAGGCCCTCACCCCCAGAAGCATCACATTGGGCATTTATGTTTCAATATACAAATTCTGGAGGGACACGACATCAGACCATTAACAGGATCTTACACTTTGTGGGGCAGAGATGCCCTAAACAAATATACAGTGTGGCGAGGAGTTAGAAGGAGACTCGGAAGGGGAGGTACAGTTTCTTTTAGAGGAGTTAAGTCAAGGCATATGTTTTTGATAAGGTGACATTTGAGCAAATTCTGAATGATGTGAAGGAGGAAACCATCTGGACATCTGGAGGAGGAATGTTCTGGGCAGAGGGAACAGTAAATGCAAAGGCCCTAAGATGGGAGTCTTAGGATAAGTTAAAATGGATAAGTTAAAAATGTAAAAATATAGTAAGAATAAAGATTAGATAAATCGAACATATTCACTATTCAATTATTCTCTTTGCCTCTGAAACTTAAAAAAAATATGCTAGCTGAATCTCAATTAACTTCCTATAATTGGTTATATAGAACAACTGGTAAAAGCATTTTTAGCAACCTTTAATAATTAAACTTTTACGCAGCAATATTCTGGTTAATTATCATTTGCTTTTGTTGAGGCTTTATTGCATTTTTATGGTCATCTGTGCTCCAAGAATTACTTTCACATTTGTCTCTGTTCCTTTTAATTATGTTAAATGAACTGTCCTAGAAAAGACCAAATATTCTTAGTACCCTTTAAGTCAAAAAAGAAAAATATTGTTAGGAATCTCTTAAAATTGTCAATAAGTGTAACACAATTTCTTTTGATATGAGCAATGCATGGCTATTGACAAATTAATGTATAAAATGTCTGTTGTATCATTTATGAAATCAGTCTCTTGGAACTTTTGATAATTTAATCCTGATGCTTAAATTTTTTTCAAAGCAATAAATATTGCAGAAGTTGGCAAAAATCATTAAATGTTAATAAAAAGCTTTGTCTGATACTATATCAAGGTAAGATGTCTTTAATTTCAGTTCATTCTGAAAGAATCCTGATGGAAAGACAACTATAGAATAGCGTCTATTCTGGTAATAAATGTTTTTACACTATGTATTAAGCTATGGGGAATCTCTACCTCTTCTAAATTTTTCTTATAACCGTGCTTTCATTTTTACAGTTGATTCAAAACAAGACTCAGAGTAGAGATAAATACATTGTATTTTACTTATTTTTGTTATATATTTTATTCTGTATATAGAATAAAACATTTCCAGATATCAACTTTAATAAATCCAGCTATGAAGTCTTCTTGATCCTACCTCTGAAAGATCACTTGACATTAGTTACCTGTCTTTCATCTCCACTGTTACCAATGGATTTTACTTACTCTCACTTGGAATATTATTGTAACTTTTCTTCAACATATATGATTCCCCATCTTAAAATCTGATTAATGGCTGCTTATGCTGTGGG